TTCCCTTCCCTTCCCTTCCCTTCCCTTCCCTTCCCTTCCCTTCCCCATTTCCAGGGATGTGGCAGCCACAGTTTCTCTGGGAATACCTGTCCCAGGGCTTCACCACTCTCACCATAAAATATATAAAATAAAAAATAAAATATATAAAATAAAAAATATTTTTTCTATATATCTGTTCTTTCTAGTTTCCTGTTGGAAGATCTCGCTGGCAGGGAGCTCAGGCAGAGGAGTGACGTGAAGGGGTTTGGGTTTCACTCCTGACATCTCATTTCACTTATCCCATCAGAAAATGTAAAGAAGACCCATCAGGCCTTTTTAAGATGTTGATGCAGATGAGTTAAAACTGTCCAAGGGCAGGAGAGTTACAATTGCAATGTAAAACTTTCCTGCAGTAAGGCACAAAGAGCATCGTGCTGTTCCTCCTGGAATTCAGAAGCAGATAGAAAACTCCCATTGGATTAAAAAAAAAAAAAAACAAAACAAAAACCAAACACCCCCCCCCAAAAAAAAAGAACCAAAAAACCAACCCTCCCCCCAAAAAAAACCCAAAAAAAACCAAAACAAAAAAAAACCCCACAAAACAGGAAAAATTATATCCAGGAATGGACCTAAATATCAAGCCACTGAGAGATGCACCTCTTAAATATCAAGAGGTTTAGAGCTGGTGATCAGTCATTTCTTGAGCACGTTTATGATCTGAAGAGGATTCAGCCAAAACAAAGGAAAGGGCAGATGAGAAATCAACAGGGTGAGAGTCAGTGCCCATTGCATGTGCAAAACCTTCACCTGAGCTGGGTCTGTTTTCTCCCTGAATGATCCCAGTGGGTCCCTTCCAGCACAGGATATTCTATAATTAAATATATCACATCATTATGAACTTAAACGTCACTCAGAAATATTTACACACCTGAGAAATCTCTGCTCATACAGGAAATTCTCTGCCCCAGGAAAGTTTTACCTCCCATTCTCTGAATTTATTAAAAAATCCTTTCTCTGCAGGTGCACCTGTCTGTGCAGAGGTGGGCAAAAAAGCACCCATATCCCAAATTTGCTGCTAAATAACATGAAATATTTGAGGCTGGATGCATGTTGTGCCATGAGCTGAGGTTTCCATCTCCCAAGCCTTTGTTGTCAGAGCTGTGCTGCTCTAGCTCCTTGCTCCACTGGCACTGGGAGGCAGCAAAACCACAGAAAAAAAGGTGCAAAGGCAAAGAAAAAAATACATCCTGGCTGTTGCTTTTCCTCCAAATAGGAAATATTCCCATCATGGTCCTGGTTTTAATCGCAGCAGGTTCTTCCTCTGGGTCTGCAGAGCTTTGCTGGCTCCCGCTGTCCCTTTCCTCTGCATCCAGGCAAAACCTGGAATTTGTTTCTACCTGCAGCAGGAGATGCAGCAGAGGCAGAAAGGAGCCCTGAGAGCAGAGCAAAGGAGGATTTCTGTCCTGGAAGGGCCACACAGGGATGTTCCACGCCTGCAACGGGAATTCCCAGACTCCAGGTCCAGGTATTATCCCAGAGTCCCTGTGAGTGACCACGACATTTGTGACAGGAGTCCCCAGCTTGAAAAACTGCAGGAGAAATGGCATTTCTGACCAAAATGGGGAGCCACAAACCTGGAGGAGAAGCTTTAATGGCAGTGACACCTGCAGGAGGCTTTTGCTCAGGTCCCTGCCCTGAAAGATGCACAGAAGATTACAAACCCTATCCCTGGAAGTAGTCAAGGCTGGGTTGGATGGGGCTTGGAGCAAATCTGGGATGGGAGGTTTGGACTCACAGAGAAAGGATTCACAGAGCTGATTCACAGAGCTGCTTCCTCCTGCAGGCTCAGTCAGTTTTTCTTCTTGGTTTTTGTCATCTGTTCATGCATTTCCCTCCTCCTCTGCTGCCAGGATCTGCACACCAATTACACCCAGACTGCTGCGGGCTGCGATCACCACTGCCAGCACCAGCACAGGCCTCCTGCAGGAAAACACAAGTCATTAAAATTAATAACAACCTGCCAGGCACTCAAGACACAGTGAATCAGCATTGAAACTCAGACCTAAAGGCTGGCCTCGTGGGGCTTGGAAGCTGAAGAAAAGAGTTTCACATAATTGTGTGTTCATGCCTGGATTTTAATTACATCCACGTGGAGACATCATTTGTTATTGTATGAGCATTGCTCTTACAGGCAGGAATTTGGGATAAGCACAAAAGCACAGGGAGGCAGTGAGTGAATCCATCATCCACCCATCCATCCATCCATCCATCCATCCATCCATCCATCCATCCATCCAATATGTTTGTGATTTCAAGACCCTGTGCCCCTTCATTAGAGCCAGCTCACCCCAGCCTGGCAAATTCTGTGTGAAGGCAATGTCAGGGAAGGCAGCCCTGAACTGCAGGAGCTTCCAGACATATGCTCAGTAAATCAGGGGACTCACATGATCCCATAAATCACGATCCTGATTAGGGTCAGAGGCTGCACGTGCTGCACAAAGCGCTGCCCAGCACCTGCCGGGCTCCTCCCGTGAGAGAACAGCCAGAGCTTCTCTCCATGGCAAACTGCAAATCCCTGCAGTGTGCAAAGTCCTTGTCTCAGAGGAGTCCAGCACGGAACAAAATCAATCCTGGTCTTTTTGGGATTCTGCTCTCACCTGGAAGTGTGTCTCTAGGGGAGGCAGAAATCACTGTTTCTCCAAACACACCCATGGATGTGTCACCCATTGGAAGGCACAGGTTGGGCACCAGGCTCAGCCCAGGACAGCCATGGATGTTGGTATCCCAGTGGAAAAGGGAATATGTGATTTACAGACCAGAGTTTCTGATTATATTGATTCACAGGGTTACCCTTAAGCCAAGCTCCATGGCTACATCGGAATCAGGAATGTGCTGCCTGCTTAATATCTTTATTTTCCTGTTTGTTTTCTCGTTCATTTCCTGCTTCCTCTAACAGGAAAAGCTGCAGCTCCCAGTATTTAATGCTGGGCAGGTTAAATCCCGTGGTGTAATTTCATTATCCCCTCCAGGTATGTGGAGCGTGGAGTTAAAGGGATCAGAGCTGTTCTGGGTTAGCCAGGCACAAAAACGAGGGGGAAAATCGACCTGTAAAGGTGAATTGGCTGTGTCTGAACACAAAGTGACACAAACAGCCTCTTAATTAGCTACAGGGGTAATGAGATCACTTGGGCAGGGAAGCATGAACACAGTCAGAGAATCAGGGAACGGTTTGGGATGGAAGAGACCTCAAATCCCACCCAGTTCCACCCCTGCCACATCCAGTGTCACCTTCCACTGTCCCAGAGTGCCCCAAGCCCCAGTGTCCAACCTGGCCTTGGACACTTCCAGGGATCCAGGGGCAGCCACAGCTTCTCTGGGCACCCTGTGCCAGGGCCTCCCACCCTCACAGGGAGGAATTTCTTCTTTAAATCCAGCTTTAAACTGAAAATTTAAACTCAGCCCTCACCTTCAGGCAGAAGCAGTGCAGCCCCATTTCAAAATTTCATTTCATTCCATGAAATTCTGTTTCACTTCCCTTCATCCCATGCAGTTTCATTCCATTTCATGAATTAGAATGACACTTAAAATTTTATTTTATTTTATTTTATTTTATTTTATTTTATTTTATTTTATTTTATTTTATTTTATTTCATTTCATTTTATTTCATTTTATTTTATTTCATTTTATTTTATTTCATTTTATTTTATTTCACAACGCAAAATTTCATTTCATTTCATGAAATTGCTTTTCATTACATTTCATTTCATTCTGCTCCATGAAATTTCCTGTGACCTCCAACAGTGTTCCTTGGACAGCACCCACACGATTTTCAAGGAAAAGGGAATTTTCCAGAAGCTCTCATCACCTAAAGCTAAAGCAGAGGTGACCAAATCCAGGAGTGACCAACCTGTCCAACCACTTTCCAGTAGAAATGCAGAGATTTCTCTCAAAAATAAAGTTGATTTGTGTGGAGTTTTTTTTCATTATTAAGTGTTTAAACCGAATTGTTCATGAAAAGTAGCAATTTGTGCTTCTTTGTCCTGGATTATCAAACCTTATCCCAAACTCTTCATGGAGTCAGGTTTATAGGATGCCTCACCTATAGCATGAAGTTTAAAATCTTTATATATTATATTTATATATATTATATTATATTATATTATATTATATTATATTATATTATATTATATTATATTATATTATATTATATTATATTATATTATATTATATTATAATATTATATTATATTATATTATATTATATTATATTATATTATATTATATTATATTATATTATATTATATTATATTATATTATATTATATTCAAAATGTCTGCAAGTGCCCAGGAACCATAAATACTTCTGAATAAGACAGAGAAATACCTGGAAAATGAGAATTTTGGGGTAAAACAAGCCATTGCTAACAGCATTTCAAACCTCTGCCAGAGTCAGCACTGTGAAGTGGTGAACTCCAGGTGTATTTTTAGCGATATTTTTTTTTTATACTGCATTTAAAAGAATCATCTGTCAGTGCCAATCATTTCCTTTTCCATAACTCATAAAGTGGCTAATTCAAAAAGCACAAATATTATGAGTTTGAGAAATTTGTGTTCACGGGGATCTTGTGATGCAGAGCCTCCCGTTAATTCTTTTTTTTGGTGGGCACTTGTGAAACAAACCCTTTTCCTCAGTGCCAAACCTGGGTCTTGTAGGACCTGAAAAAACAAATTCAAAATAATTTCAGTTGTTCTGGTTGGATGGATGGGATTAGGAGCAGAAGTTTTTCTTTCCTGAGTTCAGAGCTCAGCTGGAGATCCAAGACAAGGAGCATCTTCCAAACCATTTTTTCACAGAATGCCTTTGGACAGTTGGAAATAAACAATATTTAAATTGACTTTAGCGAGTTTGCCATGGGAACTTATTAAGGATGGAGCCCAACGTTTCTTTCTCTGAGCTATAAAAAGAAGTTTTGCTCTTTTCTGGGTGCTTCAAGAGCTGATGTGTGGGATGTGACATGGCAAGGACACGGCACAAGAGGAGAGCAGGGAATCCAGGATATCAGAGACGCACCTCAGAGCAGCAGGAAAAGGAAACAAAGCGGGGGAAATTACCCCAAAAATCATTTGGATTTATAAAGGTTATAAAAATTAAGAACTGCTGTCCTTCCATAGAGCCAGAAACACCTCCAGGTTGGGTGGCAGGGCTCTGCCCGACCCAGGAGTGACGCCGGCTGGAAAACCTGGAAATTGCAGAAATTTCCTTGCTCGGAAAACCGCAGCCAGAGAGGGCTCCAATTCCCAGTGATTATTTGTGGCGTTTTTCCTAACAATATAATAAATATTTGGAATAAACCAAAGAGTATTTCCATTTCCAAGGATAAACCATCACAGAGCTGCTCCGTCCTGTCTCATTTCTGCCATCCATTTAACCTTTCCTGTTGTATTTCTCCCCAAATATCCCAAAAGCAGCGTAGTTCCCAGGATTTTTGTTGGGCAGCAGAAACCAAGAGCTGCTTGAAGCTCACAAAAAAAAAAATCCTCACTCAATTATGGTCTGGTAGCACGCTCCAGGCAGCATTCCCTCTGCAAATTCCAGCTGTAAAAGAATAAATAATGAATAAATAAATAATTATATTTTTATATCATATACATAATATGTCTATAATACAATATATGTATATTATCTATTATCTATTATCTGTTATCTATTATCATCTATTATATATTACATATATATTCTATTATATATTATATATTTCATATATATCATATATCATATTAGCTACAGGGATAATGAAATCACTTGGGCAGGGAAGCATGAACACGTCAGATAATATAAAATATAATATAATATAATATAATATAATATAATATAATATAATATAATATAATATAATATAATATAATATAATATAATAATTAATATAATATAATATAATATAATAATTAATTATATATTATATTTTATATAATCATATAGTTATATATTGGTATTGTATTATTATAATATTAATATTATGATATGATAGGATATGATTATTTTTATATAAATCTAACCTTATCTAATCTAATAAATATATTTAAATATATTTATACCTATACATTACCTCAGATTTCAAACCCAAAATATTCACTCTGTCCCCCATAGTTTACCTCACATCCCTCCCCCAAAAAATATTCATTCCATCCCGTAAGCAGATTTTTATCCTTCAAATTTTCCCTACTTATCCCCTAACGACAACCTCAATTTTCACCCCCCGAAATACCACCTATTAATCACATCAATTTTACATCAAAGTTTTCATTTCCTCCAGTGCAGATAACTCAGATCTTATCCCCAAAATGTTCATTTTATGCCCTAAAATTGGCCGATTTCAGTAGCGGGCGCTCGCCACAGGGGGGCAGCACCGAGCACTGCGCATGCGCCGCTGCCTTTGTTCCGCCCCACCCTTAATCATGGCCGCCACGGGAATTCGCCTTTTTGGGTGGATTTTGGTGGATTCATGGCTTAGTTTGATTCGGTTTTTATTCTTTTCTGAAGGGTTTTGTGTGGGTTTGGGGTGGTTTTTTTGGGTTGTTGTATCGCTGAGGCATTGGGGGCTGCAATTCCTGGTTATCACCACGAGGTGGAAGCAGCGACTCAGGTGAAGCCGCGATCCCGGACTTTATTTTTTCTTGCCTTTTTAAATCTTTTATTATTTTAATTTATAAATACAGAAATTATGTTTGCCCCTTTAAAACCTTACGGTCCTATAGGCAGAGCTTTCTTATATCCTAAAATCCTGTATACACAGCGCACAAGGCGTTTTGTTTTGAAATTAAGTATTATCTGTATTAATTTGGTCGATACGTATAAAGACAAGGAACTTTAAAGGTTTTAATATTTATTCTCACATACACACACATTCCCTGTGAGTTTTCAGGTATTTTTGGGGCTGTAAATCCCCTTTCTGTGTGGGTCCACCTGCCCACCTTGATTCCCTACTCATCCTTTCCCTCATGTCGCAATGGAGCTGAAGCCAAGAGAGAAAATTTAAAGAATAAACTGGAAAAACAACCCCAAAACTCAATAACTCACTCTAAAGTAAAAAGATTTGCCGATGTTTACATACATCCAGTAAAAACATTCCATCTAGAGAAATCCTGGATTTCCTGTTGCATTCACTGAACTGGCACAGCTGAGAATTGATGCCATTAAATTTTATTTTCCAAAATACACAATTACCTCTGGCCACCTGCTTTGGCCCCACTGATGTCCACTGCTTATAAGTAATTCCCTTCATTAATTAGCATTCTATCCCAATTAGCTGATGATTTCTTGCTCTCACCTGGCCCACATTCTTTAGCCCTTTAATCATCTTTTTCTCAGACTTTCCAACTTTCCAACCTTTAATCCTTTCTGCATCTTCTTGTTCTTCCAGAGTCCTTGAAGGGCCATAAATTTACAATCCCAGATGTCAAATCTTCCAGCTCCCTTTGGCTTTAATTGAGGCTTGCTGGGGTTAATTTTGGCTAATTTAATGTTTGAAAAAAATAAAAACAAGTTTCACTATTTAAAGTTTTAAGGGAAGTTTAATAAGGGATAAAAAGGGCAATATCCAGCACTGGGGTACCTTGATAAAATGCCAGAAGCACACTATTAAAACATACAAACAATGTTCTTATATATTTTTACATTATATAGGTTAAATGCATATTAATGAGCGTTATATATATTCAAATATTTCTGTGGGTTTACATGTTCTGGGAATTCTTTTGTTTGATTTTAACCTTTGACTTGTCTGCATGCTGTCCTGTGGATTAGATCAATATATTTTATTTCTTCTCGAGGCTCCATTCTGTTGTTTTGACACGACCTAATAACTGGACAGTCCGTAGCAGTTTTTCTTCTCCTGGTGTCCTGGTTTTTGTCACTGTTATCACTCAGATAAGATAGTCCAGAAATGTGAGAAACAACATAGCTATTTCACACCATTATCTGAGTTAGTTACACAGATAAAAGCATTTTAACATACTCTGTATTTTAGTATTATGCTAAGGCCTAATATAGAATAGAATAGAATATATTTGTAGATAATTTATAATATAAAATATATATTTCTATTATGTTATAATATATAAATATTATAATAATTATATTATATTATATTATATTATATTATATTATATTATATTATATTAATATTATATCTATTATACTATATACTATATATTATATTTTATATTATATTATATTATACAATTATAATTATATAATAAATATATAAATTATATAATAATATCCTATTATATAAAATATAATATAAAATATATAATATCTGTAATAGATGTATAATATAATATAATATAATATAATATAATATAATATAATATAATGTAATGTAATGTAATATAATATAAGTAATATAAATAATATTTAAGTATTTATAATATTTACATGATAACAAGATTAATAATAATAATAATAATAATAATAATAATAATAATAATAATAATAATAATAATACAGATTATACTATACCAAACCAAAAAGCAGTTAAAAGGAATTACAAATTGCACTAGATAAGAACCTTTGTGATCGGTAATAACTTGCATAAGCAAATCGATAAATGCGAAAGCCATTTAGGGAATTTGTCATTTATAACATTTGGCCCATGGGACGGTGAAAACAAAAACAATTTACCCGGTGCTGGCTGCGATGGGAGGATCACAAAGTTCCTAATTTAATTCTTGAGGGTTTTTTGGGAAAGGAGAACGATTCCCGTTTTCCCGAGCGACCCAAACCCGGGATGGCGGGGAGCGCTCTCTGCGCATGTGCGGCGGCTCCTCCC